GCTTTACACAATTGATGTATGTATGGATTGTGATAAGAGTTGTATGAGCCCCTAATAAAATGATTAAAAAAAAAAAAGAAAATAACTATCTTTGAAAGCCAACAGGCATAAGAATAATAAATCCTATATCAGGTTAGTAGATCAACACATAACCAATTATGGAACCAGGGCTCCTTAAAAAGGTAAATACTTGCGAAGTTTCAAATGGATTATGTATAAACATCTGGTTGTTATGAGTTAGAATGAACTGGATAACAAAAGGTTTGGTTTTATCTATCCTAATCCAAAGCAGTTTTTTTTTTTTCAAAGAATGAAAAGAAGAAAAAAAGCCAAGCATTTTAAGACTACGATTAAAAAGAAAAATCCGTTTGACCTAATTTTCAATTCTAACAATTTACTAAACCCACTCCAAACTGCCATCAAGTCGGTTTTGACTCACAGCGACCCTTAACTGTTCAAAAAAAGATAAAAAGAAATCTCACTGCCATCGAGCTGATTCAGACTCATGGCAACTCAAGAAGGCACAGCAGAACTGCTCCTTTGGGTTTCTGAGACTTTACATCTTTACAGGGGCAGATAGCCTCATTTTTCTCCCAGAGAGCAGCTATTAGGTTTGAACCACTAACCTTATAGTTAGTAGCTCCCACCATGCCATCTACACTCACTTCCACTGATGTCAAGTAGATTCGAATTCACTGTAACCATATAGAACAGAATAGAACTACACCTATTTCCAAGAATGTAAATCTATACGAAAGCAAACTGTCTCACATTTCTCCCTCAGAGTGGCTGGTATGTTAAAAACCCACTAAACTTCTGGTTAGTGGCCCAGTGCTTAACCCACTATGCTGCCAGGCTTCTTAGCAACTCATTCTGTTCTTTGTATTAACAACAATTAGTGCTCCATAGGCTTGGACTGCTTCTCAGGGAGGAAAAATGCTCTCTGTGTTTCTAAAAGTATTTAAACAAACAAGCAAATAAACAAAACTATTTAAGCATATCTATATATACTCTGTAGTTAAACAGTGATTTTATTTCTCAAATACATACACAAATTTATGCAACCAGGGCAGAGAGGCTGTGGATGATTCATACTTCTAATTAGGGGGGAGGACTCGCTTCATTTTATTGTATCAAGTCAACTGGTAAATACAACTCTCAATCATAATCAAGCAGACTTTGTAGTCCTTATCCTTTCTGTTCTTCTCAAGATGCTTTTGAATAGCAAAAGCTTCTTTAATCAAATGCTCCTGATCATCAGGAAGATCAGGAGCAAGTCCTCTGGCCTGGAGGATTCTCAGGATTTTATTGCCGGTCACAAAATGTACTTGTGTGACACCATGTTAACCACTTAGAATAAAAGATTTGCGAAGGAGCCAGGCCCTTCTTGGCCAGTTTGTAGACCTGCTCCTTCACACTGCTGAACGTCAACCTCAGCCAGGTGGGAATACTAGGGCAATAGGGCAAGGCCGACTGGGTCAGGCTCATTCTCAGAGCATGCATGATGGTGGTGGTCAGGCAGTGGGGGGAAAAAAAAAGAAAAAAGCTCAATTTATTTCTGAATGTCTAATAAGGATTGCAGGAGTGCAGTGGTTACACAATGGGCTGCTAACCGCACCGTCAGTAGTTTAAAACCACCAGCCTGAGGGCGAAAGACGGTTTTCTACTCCCCTAAGGGTTATAGCCTTGGAAACCCACAAGAACAGGTCTGCCCTGTCACTAGGAGTTGGAACTGACTCAATGGCAGTGAGTTTGGGTTTTGGCTTGGTTAATAAGCATCTCTGGTGATACCGTGAGATAAAACATTGGGCTGCTAAATGAAAGGTCAAAGGTTCAAACCCACTAGCTGCTTTGTGGGAGAAAGATGACACTGGTTCTATACAGATTTATAGTCTAAGAAACCCTATTTAGTGAAGACAGTTTCAAAAGTGTTGATTGAGGTTATTATAACAAAAAAATTAAATAAAAGCCTTCACACCACACAAGGTGTATTCAGAGTTTCATATGACATGTTATGAGTCCTTAAAAATAGGACAACAATAAGAACCAAAGCCAAAGAAAAACCCAACAAAAAGCCTCCAAGCCCTTTTTGACTATGGTAACTTTCAACTTCAAACTGTAGAAGAAAGAATAGTTTTTAAACCAACAAAATGGTCAGAACAATATTTAAATATTCATTATAGAATAAAAATTTCAACTTTAGTAATACAAGACATCAGTTAATATTTTGAGTGAATAGCCAGATATTGAAAGCAATTCTTACCACTTGGATGAGGAATTCTACTGGAAAACCGCCTAATGTTTCAGAGTCAGAGCCAGAAATTTTATTTCTCCAAGGCGACTGTCCTAATAAGGGATCATTATCCTATGAGAATGAAAAGAAGTGTTCAAATATTGAGTGTTTTTAAAAAAAAAAATCTAATTTTTAGATAAATAAATTTTCATATAACTAATATTAAAAATACTAAAATTTCTATCAAAATAACTTGAATAACTATGGTTGCTGTACACAGTATTTTATGCATTCTTGATACTTCTTATATTTCTTGAATTAGTAATTGGATTCTTGTTTGCTTCAACATCCTTGAGGTAAGAATCATCATTCTAATACAGTTATTCTAGGGCAACAACACATCGAGTCACACTGGGCTAAAATGATATTAGCAAGTGCAGTGCAGGAATACTTCAAAGTTTGTGAAAATTAATTCATCCTTTGGGGATTCATCAAAAGGACAACTGTGTGAGAGGGGTTGAGTAGAGTTAAGATTGATTCCTTATGATACCTCAGACAGCTATGCATACTCTCTTCCAGTCTATGAGAGCATTTCTACATTTGCAAGAATGATGTGAGCTACTCGTTAGCCAGCAGATTTGGCTAATAACCCTCCTGTTGCAAGTCAGAACTTTAGACAGTCTTAAGAAGGATTTATAAGTAGGATACAGGTTTTAGAAGAAGGTCTGAGAGAATACACAGTTTTGTGAGACTGTCACATGTTACTTGTATAAATAAAAGATGAATTTTTTTTAAACCTACTAAAAGGAAAATAGAAGGACTTTCAAAAAGTTTATGGAGATTCCATTTTCTTTTAATTCTATTTCCCCACAATGTTTTGAAGTCCCCTCATATTTCCAGAGTGGTATTAACTACTTATTTAATATCTGATACCTCAAAATAATTTGGATAACTACCTCTTGAAAGTTGGTATAATGTGTATTTCACAAAAATATAATTCACATTAATAATTATCATTTACGTTATTAATGATTATTTACCGTAATAGGTGACTGTAGAGGAGGAGTATAATGTAACCGGGGTGGGGTCATGAAAAATCGAGACGGTCGTTGTTTTTGTCCAAAGGCAGCAATTGGCATTGTGTCATGAGGTTCATTACTCTTTGGGAACAGAGATTAGGCACAGACTTTAAAAAGACTTCTTTACCAGTCATTTAAGGTCTATAAATATTATAGTTCCACTTGAGATATATATTAGTTCACATGATACTATTTATCACAGAATATATTGTTATACAAAGATGAAAAACGTCAAAGTATGAAAACAAACACTTTTGTGTAGCCAGAACGTTGAACCCATGAAACAAAGAATTAAGAAAGAAAACAAAATAAAAATCAAACAATTCAGAGATTCAAGGGTTAGTATTAAAGTATTCTATGGCCACTCTTGGTTATCTATGGATATTTCCTAATTAAACTAAACTCTTAACTAGTGAGAAGAAATGTTCGGGTGCTTTCAAAAATAAAATTACATCAATTAAAAAAAGAAAGAAAGAAAATTACATTAATAAACACAAAAACAATCTTCCTCTTGTGAATGGAGCTTAAACATTTTCATCCTTTAATATAAAAATTTAAGGTTTAAATGTACTTTGCTCTACATTTAATCTGTCTTCCTTTTCCTTCATATAAAAGATATTTGATAAGGAAACCCTCGAAACAAACAGCAGGCCATTGTTAAGTATCAGGAAATGATGACTGCTCTATTTTTGCACTAAGGAGATAGAAAAATGTTGATGCTTAATTAAAACTTCATAATCTTTAAAAATCAAGTTTTAACAAAGAAAGGAAAAGAGGAACCTAAAAATGACAATTAAACTTCCATAATGCTTAGCGGCAACCATATTTATCATGATTGACATTTTTTAAACTCAACACTTTTTATTTTAAAAAATTATTTTTGCTTATTAGAACAATATATAATTCTCATAGCACTTCTAAATCAAGCATGATCAAGAGTGGCTCGTAATTTAATAGACTATACCAGAAATTCAGAAGATCTGGATTCTACTCTCATACTGGAAGAAATTACTTCGAGAACAGTGAATAAAGTACTTCACGTACTTATGTCTAAGTGTCATCATGCACGAAGTGGGGGTAATTAGCCTCACAAAACTCTCAGGGGACAAATTAAGAGAACACATATGAAAGTGAAATATGTTGTTTCATACTTTTAAAAGCATTTGCAAAAGGGCTATACTTTAACCCGACAACCTGACTAAAAACGTTCTGCAGCTTACATCACAGATTATATGAAATAGCTTCCAAAAGGTTCTTTAAAAAAATTACATATCTTTTAATTCTATTGTCCCATGAGCTTTCTGAAACCCCCTCCTGTAGTCAGGACAGTGCTGTGTAGGTAAGGTAGGAAGATCCAAATTATATCCCTTTCAAGTTTCTGGAAAATGTGAAAGTGGTCTCAAACTTTAATTTGAGGAAGAGGGGAGCTTTTCTTCTGCTTGAGAGGTCTAGTAGGCAGGGCTGGGAACCCCTAAGGATCTCTTCCCCTATGACCTGAAGTCTTGGTTCTGTCATAAAATACAATGTCCAGAAAACTCTATGTAACATATTTAACACACATAAAAAAGTATTATGAAATACTACTTACAAGAACTTCATAGTCAGGGATGGTATGGGTTCCAAGCCCTGTCCTATCAAAAGTTACTCTATAAGTAGCATTAAGAGTATCCACAGCATCTATTTGTCCAATGAACAGACCATCATGAACACCACGCAATCGTGCTGAGAAAAGAAACAAAGGTACTATGATATTTGGGAGATACAAGAATCATCAAATATAAAACTGCTCCATGTAATAGAAATGGCAGAAAGTATAGTATTACTGTCTAGTATAGTTCCAAAACAAGCAAATGCTCAATTTTAGAGAAGCAATTTTTAAAAAAAACAAAGAACAAAGCTATAAATAAAAAAATTTTCTACATAAATAACTACTAAACTAACAAGTTTACTTAAAAAAAAAATTTTTAAGTCACTGCTAGAAGCTCAAAATGGAAAAAGAAAGTCAACTAAAAGAACTTTTATTATAACAGTAATGAGTATTAAACACTAGCAGTCCAATGAAGAGGGGGAAAAAGACGCCAAGGGTGCTGTGCAGAAAAGTTAACATATCAGGCCTGAAATTATTATCCTTAAAGGCCTGTCTGCAAGAATGGCGATTGGCTGGCACTTGAGAACCTGGATTTTTGGGAGCATTCCCATCGTTTTCTATCTGATATGGGTAGTTTACCATGTCTAGACTGTAGAATGTAGTTTATTCTGAAAACTCACTTCTGGGAGTCCACAATTTTGTTATGTGCTAGGCAGAGGGTGTCTATGTGAGTAGCCCCCATTAAAAATCATGGGTCCTAAAAAAAAAAAAAACGCAAAAAAAATCACGACTCCTGTATCTCTAATGAGCTTCTGTGGTAGAAAAGATTTCACATGTGTTGTTAAAACCTGTTGATGAAGTGTAACACATGACAAGATAATAATAATTTATGAATTATGAAGGGTTCATGAGGGGGGCAGCGGGTGAGGGAAAGGGAAAAATGAGCAGCTGATGTCAAGGGCTCAAATAGAAGGCAAATGCTTTGAGAATGATGATGGCAGCAAATGTACATGTGTGCTTGACAGCAGGTTGTTGACTCCATTGGAGACAACTCTAAGGAGCTAGAGCTTGGTTTTCCCTACACTTCAGACCATGTGATTCTTCCCTTTGCTAATCTTTTTTTGGGTACCCTTTCACTGTTAAGAAATTTTAGCTATAAGTATATGCTGAATCTTGTGAATTCATCTACTGATCAGCCAATCAGCAGTCTTGGAAACTGCTTATCTTGATAGTCCTTGTGTCACTCTTAGTCAATTAACAATTCCAAATATTCAGCATAAGTGAAAATTAGAATGGTATATGACTGAAAATATTTTAAAGCATTACATTTGACAAAGGGGCAGATTTTGAAGAAAAAATTCAAGAAATAGTATTTTAGGAACAAACAAATATCCAATTGAAAAATTAAAGGATTGGGAACCGATTACAAGGAACTATATGTGACCTCCTCCCTGGGGGGCAGACAACAGAAAAGTGGGTGAAGGAGACGTCGGACAGGGCAAGATATGACAAAATAACATTTTATAAACTATCAAGGGCTCATGAGGGAGGGGGGGAGGGAGGAGCGGGGAGGGAGGGGAAAAATGAGGACCTAATGCTGGGGGTTTAAGTGGAGAGAAAATATTTTGAGAATGATGAGGGCAATGAATGTACAAATGTGCTTTACACAATTGATGTATGTATGGATTGTGATAAGAGTTGTATGGGCCCCTAATAAAATGATTTTTAAAAAAAGGATCAGTTGATACAAGCCCAATTATAGTAGGAGGCTAAAATATATGATAACTCAATTAACATAAAAGTAACTGGGGAGAGTGTGTGTAAGTAGCACACATGGAAGGGACTCCACAGAGAACAGCACAAAGGAGCCACTGAGAGAGATATCCAAACTTCCCGATGGCAGGATTCTCAGCATACAGATAAGTAGACACAAATTTACTAAAATTAAAGAGCAGCAACATCTGTTGATAAGATTCCCCATTGTCATTGGCCCTTGGCACTAGCCGGCTGAGCATGGACTCCCAAATCTCCTAATCAAATTTTCCCAGTCCATAAACTAACAAGGGTGGCTGAGCAGCTGAGGTGCAGGGACACAGTTATAGGACACCAGCCTGGGGCTGATGAAAGCATAAATAGGATAGGCTCTAGGCCCAAGCCAAGGGAGCTCTGGTTGCATATTTAATAGCCCTAACATGCCAATAACAGGGATAACACAGCCTATCCACACCACTTGGAGATAACTCTCAGGGTAGCTTGCAGTGGGTGTAAACAGTGGATAAACTAACTCTCCACACAGGCTGCGGGGAGGGGCCTCCAGACCCACTCAGCAAAACTAACCCCCTTCCTTGAGGTACACTCTGCACAGAAGCCATTCTCAGGCTTTTCTTTCTTAAAACTACTTTGGGTAGCAGTTAACACACACCTGGCTCATTAACAATTCATTAGCATAATAATTCAAGTAGAAACTGCAAAAGCCTTAGGGCCCAGAACCTGATCCTGGCTCACATACCTAGCTAAGTTACCAGCCATGGCATGACTCCAGCCATCCCTATCCTCTCAGATAAGCAACCTGTCCTCTGCAGAGGTTATTGCTTTATTCCTCCCTCCCAGACCATCTTGGTAGGTAGCAGGTATAGACCACCCTATACCCCCACCCCTACCTGGTCACCCTTATTATGCAAAAAGAGCAAGCCCCACACCTTCTGACCTGATTCACCAGAGGTCTATTCTCTTAAAATAATTGACTTAAATCACAGGAATACAGGACTCTCAGTCACACCAGACACCAAAATCATTCTTAGCCTTAATCTCAACCCTACTATGACACGCTACAAGATCACAAGGTAGTAAAACAACATACTACCAGACACTGTCCCCAACTGCTTAAAAGACCTGTGGTTCCACAGCTGTTCTTTTGTTGGTATTGTCCTTGCTCTTTGTTCTATCATTCCTTCACCCTCTCCGCCTCTTAAAAACACCGTTGTGCACTATTCTTATAGCTCATCTTTAATCAGGACTCCCCATCTGTTGGTGTACATAAGCACAGAAATATTACTTTACTTTTTGTTGCTTTCAATTTGTTTCCTGGTCCCATAACGCACCACCAACCCAGAACTTAGCACCTACAACACAAAGCTCTTGGGCAAAGCTTAGAGCCCAAACAAATATACATTAATAGCTCTCCCACTTTTTACTTTAATATTATTTTTCTATCATTAATTTTAGAACTTTGATCTCTTGCCCTTTAATTTTCCTTTCTTTAATTTTAACATCTAAACTTTTTATTTCATAGACTTTTAACATTTTCTTTTCGTCTTGTCAAATCCTTTTGTTCCTTTTCATCTTCATAAAACCAAAAGCTGACCCTATTTGTACTTTCCCCCACTTTTTTTCTATCAAGTATTATTGCCCATTCCTCCATCATTGCAAAACAAACATTTGTTACAATCTATTTTCCTCTCTTTTAATGTACCAAAAAACACTACCTGATCCCTCCCTTTTTTGCTCACTTTTCCTTTCCTTTCTCTAACACAGTGGTTCTCAACCTTCCTAATGCTTCCACCCTTTCATACAGTTCCTCATGTTGTGGTGAGCCCCCCAAGCATAAAATTATTTTTGTTGCTTCTTCATAACTGTAATTTTGCTACTGTTATGAATTGGGCAACCCCCATGAAAGGGTCATTCGACCCCCAAAAGGGTCACGACCCACAGGTTGAGAACCACTGCTCTAACACTTCTCTTTCACTTTTTGATCTCTCCCTAAAAACTAATCTAACACTCTCCCCCAGACACTTAATACAAACTGCATCACCCCTCTACTACATCACCTAAAAGAGTTAGCCACTCCCACAGAACATCATCTCCCTAACATCCCTAAAAGGAACACCAAAATGTCAAGGACACAACAGAAGACAGGAGTTGACACACACAGTAAGACAGGAGAAACAAACAAATAACCAAATACCAACCAGACTTAATGTAATGCCTAAAATTGAACAGGTTATGGAGTTACCTAAAAAAGAATTTAAAAGAATGATGAAGGGAAAAAATTGTCAACCGAGAATTTTGTTCCCAGGAAAAATATCACTAAAAAATGTACAAATCAAAGTATTTCAAGATAAGGAGAAATTAAAAGAATTCACAAAAACGAGACCACCACTACAAAAAATACTCAATGAAGTACTCCGACCAAAAACCCCAGCAGCAACAACGCACAAACTTGAACCCAATAGACAAGACAATTCCTCACAAACACCAGCACACAGAGAGAACACCCAAAGCAATGAAACAATGTAGGAAGAAAAAAAAAACAACCCCAAAACACAATACACACACATACACAGAAAATGCACACATATAAAGCAAAATGGCACTAACAAATCCATGTCAATAATCTCATTGAGTGTTAAGTGGACTAAATGCACCAGTAAAGAGAGAGAGGGTGTAACAGAAAGGATAAGAAAAGAAAATTAATCAATATGCTGCCTACAAGAAACACATCTAACAAACAAATATGAACAGACTAGACTGGACAAAAGCATACCAAACAAAAAGCAACCATAAGAAAGCAGGGGAGGCAGTATAAACCTCTGAGGAAATGGATTTCAAGGCAAACAACGTAATAAGAGAGAGGAATGGACACTACATTATAGTCAAAGGAACAAAAGTTCAAGAAAACATAACTATAATGAGCATATAAGCAGCCAATGAAAGACCCTCAAAACACATCAATCAGATCCTCACATAATTGAAAAAGGATATAGACACAGCTACAATAACAGGAGACTTCAATACACTACTCTCTAAGAATGACAGCACATCAAGAAAAACATTCAGATACAAAAATGCTCAACACATTCAACAAAAAAACCAACCCCATAGACATATACAGAACACTCCACTCAACAAACACACAATATACTTTCTTCTCCAACACACACGGAACATTCTCAAAAATAAACCACATATTACGCCACAAATCATGCCTCCTCAACAAATTATTCTATAATCAATTTTCTCAGAATACGTTATAAAATTAGAAATAAAAAAAAATAAAACGAACAGAAACATAAAGACAAACACATGGAGAATGAACAACATAATACTAAAAAACGACTGGGTAAGAAAGCAAATA